AGCTTGTGCTGGGTGCTGTGCAGGGAGCAGACAGCAGGGGGCGCTGCAGCGGGGCTGGAGCCTGGGGGCCCGACAGCCGATCATTGAATCTGGGCATTTTAGCTGAGACCTGAAGGGTGTCCGGATCATCTCTGCTCTCTTCAGTCTGGAGCTCTGAGCTTCCTCTGCTTACTTGGCCCTTCTCCCTGCCGCTGCCACTCCATCATACCCTTCAAGGGGCAGCTAACTGGTTTTTCTTTTCTGGAAGCCTCATGGGATCCCACAGTCACGCTGCCTCTGCTGTCTTAAAGCAATTTTTTTTTTTTTTTAAATCACAGTATTTATCACACAGCATTGTAACTTTGCATCACTGTCTGAGTAGATTGTGAGCCATCACTTGTGCCCCAAGGCCATTTTTATCTTGCAGGCTACTTTTATTTTATTTTATTTTATTTTATTTTATTTTATTTTATTTTATTTTTAAAAATTATTTATTTTGAGAGAAAGAGAGAGAGTGTGAGGGCATGCAAACAGGGGGAGGGGCAGAGAGGGAGAAGAGAGAGAACATCCCTTTAAAAAAATTTTTTTTGATTAAAAAATGTTTATTCTCAAGTTAGTTAACATACAGTGTAGGCTTGGTTCCAGGAGCAGAACCCAGTGATTCATCTCTTATGCATGATACCTAGTGCTTATCCCGAAAAGTGCCTGCCTTAATGCCCATCACCCATTTAACCAAGCACCCCCACTCCCTTCGACTCTCAATTTGTTCTCTGTCTCAATTTGTCTCTTCTCGTTTGCCTCCCTCTCTGTTTTTATCTTATTTTTCCTTCCTTTCCCCTATGTTCATCTGTTAAGTTTCTCAAATTCTACATATGAGTAAAATCATATGATATCTATCTCTCTCTGACTGACTTATTTCGAGACAGAACATCATAAGCAGGCTCCGTGCTGTCAGCACAGAGCCCAATGCGAGGCTCAAACCCACAGACCATGAGATCATGACCTGAGCTGAAACCAAGAGTCAGACACTCAACCAGCTGAGCCACGCAGCGCCCCTTGCAGGCTACTTTTAAAAATTAAGTTAATCAGTGTGATATGGGTAGAGGCACTATTGTATGCTTAGTGTATAATAACTACGCAATAAAAATGGATTAACTTAATGATGCATGACTAGGCTGTTGCCCTGTGTTAGTCATTCCATGATTATCTCGTATGTTTCTTTGAGACCTAGTTATCCCAACCCTACTAACAAATGGCCTCCAGGCTAGATCATATCTGCTTTGGCCAAGTTTGTCAAATCATGCATCCATTCCTACAGTAATATCACTGACCCTTTGTTGTGCATTGTTTTCAGCAAATACAACTATGCACTGAAATATAAGGTAAAGGAAATCATTCCTTTAGAAATTTCTCTTTCCAAGCAAAGCCATTTGAATTGTGACCATAAAACCTGGCTACTCTCCTGGGTCCGTAGACATGCTGACAGCAGTGAGGAGAACGAGACCTTCGGTGTCAGATCTTTACTAGGAGGCCGTGTATAGTGGATGGACCTCAAGGCCCCAGAAATCATCCCATAAACCAGCACGCTCTCATGGCAATGCTGGCACTATTAGGTGTTTTTAGCTGTTGCTGTTGGTGGTGATGGTGGTGGTTTTATTGTTGTTTTTGCCAAACCTTATTTTTCTCCTTTTTTTTACTCTCCTCGCTCTTCTTAGATGGAGTGAAGGCAGAAGTTCTTCTTGTCACCCCCACCCTGCTGTGGGATGCACTGCAGGCTGCAGTTTTCTGGGTAGAGACACAGTCAGAAGGAATCCCTTAATGATATTTCACTTCCGTAAGGTCCAGAATTTGATTCGTTTCTTTGGCCTTCTTTGGCTTCCCACTTTTGGTGTTAAATCTTTAATTCCTAGCTCAGGCAGATTTGATATTGGGCCATGTAGCTTGCTTCTGTGCTTTGTGGGTGATCCTTGCACCTAAGAACTTTGATATATTTCTCAGAGTTAGGCTCATGTTGATTCTCTTTATGAAGTTCTCTGTCATCCCATTGCCAAGATTTGGACCAACTAATTTTCTATTAGATGATTTCAGGTTAGAAGGAATTAGCATCTAACCAAACTGTTATTTATAAAATAATGGTAGGCCTCTCTAAATTCTTTCCATAGCTACTCTCTTGGCTGGACCTAGACTTGGTTATTTCTTGAATTTCCTCTTGTAGTTTCAGTCTGAAAAACAAATGAAGAAAGAAACACACACACACACACACACACACACGCACGCACCAACCACAAGATTTCTTCTTCTACTTATTTTTTTTAATTTTAATTAATGTTTATTCATTTTTTGAGAGAGAAGGACAGAGCGTGAGTGGGGGAGAGGCAGAGAGAGATGGAGACACAGAATCAAAAGTACGCTCCAGGCTGTGAGCTGTCAGCACAGAGCCCTACGAAGGGCTTGAAGTCATGAACCATGAGATCATGACCCGAGCCGAAGCTGGACACTTAACCAACTGACTCAGCCAGGCACCCCTCTTCTTCTGCTTATTATCACATCGTCCACTTTCAGGATGAAATCTTCTCTGTCTCTTCCAATCAGCTTAGTCCTTTGAAGCCATTTCCAACATTTCCCTTCTGCGATGCAGAGCAGAAATCTTTGAGCTAAATCTCTCTTTGGAACTGGATTTTGAAGGTTTTCAACAAGAGATTGGCTTAATTAGAATATCTTTTCCAAGTTAAGCTTCTTTATTTTTAGTATAATAAAGTGGTTTTAAATACAGACTCTGGAGTCAGAATATTTGGGTTCGGATCTCAGTTCTTCCACTTAACTATGTGAACAGAAGCATAATATTAACTTTTGTGCTTCAATTTCCTAATCTATAAAATGAGGATAACAATAGCACCTACCTTATAGGGTTATTGTGAGGACCAAATGCGGTCATATAATCAAAGCCTTCAGATTAGTGCCTGATATATAATACTAACATAATACCTGTTGACTGCTATTATTTTTACCTAGCAATCTTCTCAGTATTTCTGTCTTCACTTGCAGGGGAACTGAGATAAAGTAGAGAATTCCTGGAGCTGCTGAATTTTTACCTACTAATATTAATCTGGTGTTTGTTTTTAAAATTTTCCTATCCACAATTCTCTAGTTATTCTTTTTGTTCATCATTATGGCCTTAGTGTCTAGCGCTAAAGCCTGACCCATAGTAGCCACTTCATCATTTGCGTAATGAATGAATGGATTCTTTCTGACTGTACTCTCTGACATTGGCTACCACTGTCCGGTCCCTGCCACACATTGTTTTGGCCTCACTAGATCTGGTCTGGGTTGAAGTGTCCTCTTCTTCTAAATGTTTATTTATTTATTTTTTGAGAGAGAGAGAGCCAGAGACTGCAAGAAGGAGAGAGGGAGAGATAAATCCAAAGCAGGCTTTGTGCTTTTGACAAGCCTGATACAGGGCTTGAAGTCCCAAACCGTGAGATCATGACCTGAGATGAAACCAATAGTAAGATGTTCAACTGACTGAGCCACCCAGATGCCCCTGAAATGTCCTCTTCTTAATTCAGGGTTCTTACCACCAGAAAGTCCAATGTCATGCTTGTGAGTTCTGTAAATTGTACCTTAACCTGAACATTCTGAGTTCGCAAGCTCTTCAGTGCCTAATCAGGGAAGCCCCTTGCACAAGAAGGATCTCTTCCTTCCTGCACCGGGTGTACCTGAAAGTAGAGTCCGCATTTGGGCAGTCATAACACCATCGCCACCTGTAAGCCCTGTAACAGCATTCAGGATATAACTGTCCAATCATTTCAGCTATTTTTTCTTGATAAGAAAAAGAGCCTGAATGCTGCCCATCATGCCCACTCTTCTGTTTGTGTTCTGGCCGAAAGGAACCTGCTGATTGACACTGGCCATGTTTTGCTGGTTCAAAACTATTGTCTTTTAGCTGCTTCCATTTCATGAGTTTTAACTGTTACCTTTATTGGTGTGCCCAGCACTGTTTTGTCACTAGGACAGGACCTTCAGTGACACCTTTGGCAAGCAACTTAACAATTTGGGCCTTGGCTTTCTTTTCTGTAAATCGAGAGGAATTGTGAAAACCATATCCTTGGTCTGTTCCAACACTGCGGTTCCACGAGCAAAAACTAAGGAGATTAATTAGACATTTTCACTTTTTTCTTCTCTCACCTTTTTCTTCCTTTCTCTAATGAACCCTATGGAAAGTTGTGGGCAAGCAGAAGACAATAATAATGACCTCTTACTGACTCTTAAGGGATTCCTGTGCTCAGAAAGGGTTTGAAAATTCACCTTCTCAAAGGAGACTGGCCGTTTCTTCTAGCCTGGCTACAAACCATCTTCTCAAAACATCAAATGCTCCTCTTCCTGCTTTAAAAACGAATATATCCTGTTGCTTTCTCCTGGCAATCAGTGCCTGAATACTGTACTGTGCATGTACATAGTGGACAGGATGATTTTCCAAAAAGGGAATTTATTCTTGTATGCTCCCACATCTCCCATGCTTTCTTTATCTCTCTGATTGGATTGTTCTAGTCTTGTTATTTTCTGCCTCTGGGCCTTTGCACATCCTCCCCTGTGCCTGAATTTTTCTCTGCTGTGCATCTTCCTCAAATGCCCTTTTTCCTTTCTTCACTTTCTCTTCACTGGTTTCTTCTCATTTTTCAGATCTTAATTTAAATGTCATTCTTCAAAAGAGCCTCCTCTGACCATTCATTGAAAGTAGGCCATTCCTGAAAATTCCTTACATTAAAGAGTCCTATGCATTGCAAACCCAGATTTACGTGTGCTTTGTAATTTGTAACTTTCTGTTAGTTTTTTGATTTGTTGTCTGCTTCTCCCATGGCATTGTGAGCTATGTGATGACAGAGACCAACTATTGTGTATTTTCCAGTGCACATCTATGCCCAGAACATTATACTTGCTCAATAAATGTTTATTCAATGGGTAGGAAAGTATTATTAGAGCCTCTTCAATAATATAGTCTGTATTTTCTGTTGATTTATTAGATTTCATGTGCTTCATCAGCCAGAGAGTTGAAAACGATTACCAGGATGAAAAGAACATTTTATGGGGTAAGTATTTTAAATCATTGTTTTTGAATATTGTACTTTGTTTTTTAAAATGTGAAAATTTTCTGCTTTTTTATCTCTACTTTATCTGCAGATTGGAAACAAAGGAATCTACAAAGCTATTAGTGAGCTGGATATTCTTCTTTCCTGGATGAAACAATTCCTGGAAAGCATTAAGTAATGCAAGAAGCCAAGTGCATGGATTTGATTATTATTTTGGAATATAATGAGAACCACTGGAAATAACTTTATAAGAATGTATTACTTTCAAAAAGCTTTTGTACACAGTATGGATACCAAGTTAGATGATTCAGAATAGACTAGGGAAATTTAACATAATAAAGTTTTGGAGATCCGTAAATTGTCTCTAATATGTACATTTTCTATATTTCCAAAGAATGCTTTCATCCTGAACATGTTTTATTATCCCCAAGTACATCATATAAATTTAATTTAAAGCTGCATGATCAAAATTAACTCACATAGTATTTGTGGAGGAAAAATGACAGCTTTCTGGAATACAATATAATGTTATTGAGAGTTCCATAGATGTTATATATATGAAATTATCTTCTTAAGGGTTTGATGACTATTAATTATGCCTAGTGTGAGCTTAGCTCCTAACAGATTTTTATATTAATAAATAAACTGTACTTCTTTCTCCGGATGTCCTTTCTATGAGAGCATGCTGAAATTTTATTGAGTACAATGGGTAACAACCAGATCAGATCAAATAGGACAGACATGTAAACTAACTGCGTGGAGTGGGTTACCAGGAAGGCCTTTGACAGATAACTCATGCCTCAAAGACCACAAGTTACCAACCCGAGATGATGCTGGCAATTGATAATGCTCCTTCCAGGTGCTGTACAGTTAGGAAAGTCGATGGAAGTAAAATAAAAGCCTCAGTGCAGCTTAAATTCCACTATAGGAAACTTTTCAGGGTTTAAAAGCCTCATTTGCCCAGCTAGCTCTTCAGTTCAATGAGTAATATGGCTGGACCTTGGTTTTTGCATTACATGGACTTGGAAGGAATGGATTGAGGCCTTGGTCCCGCTGCTCTTAAGATGTGTGGCCAATGTCAGGTCACTTCACTGTTGGGCCTCCATTTCTGGATTGGTCCTGACTGAAATTAACCAGCACAAGGGATCTATAGATTACAGATATCTGCATACTGAGGGGCTGAGATCGTCCCTTAGCCCGGGTACACTGCTCTCTCTGGGTCTCACACACCCTCCTGTCTTCCACTACCTGCCTTTAATACCACCTGCAAGCTCGTTTGGCTGGTTAATTCCTTCTGATCCTTAAGATCTCATTCAAGGGGCACCTGGGTGTCTCAGTCAGTTAGGCGTGTGACTTCGGCTCAGGTCAGGATCCCATAGCTGGTGGGTTTGAGCCCCGCATTAGGCTCTGTGCTGACAGCTCAGAGCCTGGAGCTTACTCCAGATTCTGTCTCCCTCTTTTCTCCTCCTTCCCCGCTCATGCTCTGTCTCTCTCTCCTTCAAAAATAAGTAAATATTAAAAAAAAAAGATCTCATTCAAACATTGGTCTGCTGTTAATGGTTTCATATATGCTTTACTTTTTCACAGAACCTATCATAATGATAATTCCTCTACATATTTCATATCTGTTTTACTCATTAGACTATCTCTCTCTGATTTACTGCAGTTCCTCTGCCCAAACCCAAATACATAGTAAGTGCCCAATAAATGTTTGTTGAATGAATAAATGAATAAAATAGTGAATTGAATTAGATAGTCTCTGAGGTTCTTCTGGCTCTGGCATATCTCCTGCCATAATTTTTACTGGTTGGTATGAACCTTGAGGAACGCAATGCAGCAGTGGCTTTCCCTCTAAGAGTACCTATGCTATTATTTGCCTAACAATGAATTTAAATCAACATATGCATTTACTTGCCCCCAGTAAAAAGTAACTGTTAATATGTATATGGCTCTTAAAATGGGTTGCTAAACTTAAACAGATACATTCTTAACTAAAGCATGTTCATTTGCGTACCATGTAGAATCATCTTGCAAACCCTGGGCGAAACCCTGGGTGGAATGTGTCTTACACATTGGGAAACACTGCATTATAATGAATTTCCACTGCCTCATTCTGGTCCAGCTTAGAAAATAGAATTGATCATTTTAACCTGCCCACAGACACCATGCAAAAAAAAGTCAAGCCACGATGTTCAGGTTTCAAACTGGTTTCAGAGCTCTTGTCATTGTTTCCAGAGATGGAGGTACGAAAGCATATTCACCCAGTCAGTCATTCCACGGTGCTTATGACTGACGCTCTTGACAGAGGATGCTAGGATGGTGGTGTGGCCCGCGTCCTTCCTTCCGCAGCCCACCGGGAGAGCACTGTCCACCCAGGTGACCACGGCTGATGCAGCTTCCCAGGGAGGAAGCTACGGAAATCGCTGTCCTTCCTGTTCGGGAGTCTTCTGGATGGTCAGATGTATACATGGTGATAGGAACAAAAAGTGAAAGCTCAGTCAGGCCGAGCAGAAAGTCTCAAAAGTTGATGTGGAACTATGCTGTGAATTACTACACATGAGGAGAATTCGTAAAAATGGAGTCCTCCACCAGGGCTATGAGTTAATAACTAAAATGAAAACCAATTCTATGCACGTTGATTGAATGTGTACTATGTGCTTGTCATGTGATCATGGCTGACCTAATGATAAGTAAAACTCATAGTTTCTCTAGCAAGTTAGGACCTAGGAAGGGAGATAGGTAGGAAGATAACTATATGGTGAAATGCAAGCAAAATGGAGAAATATACAGAGTGCATGGGGTGGAGGGTAAGACTCCGTGCACTGAGGAGACAGTTTGGGGTGATTTAGCCTTTGAGACTCAGCTCAGGTGTCACCTCTTCCAGAAAGACTTTCTGGCTTGATTCTCTCTTTCAAGCCCCATTCCCAGGCTGTGCCCCTTGCACAGTGTATTTTCAGAACAGCATTTAGCACATTGGATTGTAATTTTTTGTTTGTTTATTTCCTTCTTAAAGGCACAGAGTCTTGTTCAGCATTGTTTCCTCAGAGCTTGACATGGTGCTTGTCATATAACAGATATTCAGGAAATATTTTTGGAAGGAAACAATAGAGAAGAAAAACAGTGACAGTGAGGCTGGAAGAGAGAAAGTGGACTTGGGAGACATTTAGGATGTAAAATGGAAACAACTTGAAGGTTGAGAGGGGATCAGTACTGAGGAAGTAGTCTAGGATGACTACTCTAGTAGTCTAGAATTTTACATTTTTCATTAAATGTGGACTCAGAAAAATTCACTATAATGAACTTCTGTCATCTTTTTTAAGCCTGACACAGAAATGCTTTGAAATTTGGACTTCATAGTAACATAGAATCTCAAAACTGAAAGGACCAATCAAATTATATTGTCCAATTTTGCATCTTATACCAGAATCTTATTTATAACACTGCTCTCATATAGCATGTTCTTGAGCACTTGCACTTAAAAGAGACAAAATACTTCCCAGAAAAGCCCTCTCCATCTCTAAATAATTTTACCTATTAGAAATTTGTTTAGATTGGTCTGAAATCTATCCTCTTGATTAGGATAAATCATCATATATTTTCCTAGTTCCAAAATTTGAGGTTCAGAGTACTTCTGACACATCTTCCATGGGACAGGTGGATTAGTTAGGAGGTATGTTGGGGAAGGAAAGGCTCTTCCCTTTTCTTTTAAAGGTTCAGGCCAGAAGTTACATGCACCCTGTGTGTGCACAGACAAGGCCCAGAACTCGGTTACAGGGTCACACCCGACACAGAGATAGAAATGCAGTCTTTATTTGGGGAGGCAAGCGTTCAGGTAAAAACCAAGGGTCCTATACTGTGAGAGGGGGCAAATGGGCCTCAGGTGACACATCCAGATATTAAACATTTGCAAATGGCAATCATTTCACTCATTTCCATCTCAGCTTCGTCATTTCTTCCCCTATTCTCTCTTCTGGGTGAGATGGCTCCACATTTCCCCACCTGTTTTCCAATGGCATGGGTTTGGGTGCTTTCAATATCAGGGGCTTATTCTCTTCCAAATGCATTCCCAGCTGTTGTCAATGGATCTTTGTTGGACTCTCAGGCCGTATTTTCTCACAGTCATTCCTTTGCTTTCTCTTTTATAATTTATTACTTTAAAATATATACATATGTTGCTGTAGAATCAAAATAATATCAAGACATTAAAGAAGATCACCATCTCTGTCTCTCTACCTCCACCCTCCAGTGAGCCAATGATGATGGTTTGTTAGTTCTTGCCATGATTTTTCTCAGCAGTGACAATAAAAAATATATACACATATCTTTCTCCTTTTTTAGAAACACAAACAGCATCACAACATTTATTCTATCCTTCAACTTTACAACTCAACACATCAGGGACATCTTTCCAAATACACACACATACACACACACACACACACACACACATGTTCATTTTCATAGGTGCAAAATATTCCATGGAATGAGCAAAACATAATTTACTCAACTATTTTAGTTTGCTGTTTCAGTTTTCAGTCCCTACAAAACAGGCTGTAATAAGCATTTATACATATAAATAAATATATATACATATATCCTTACCTGTGTTTTTATTTTTATAGGAATGCTTTCTAGAAAGCGTTCTAGATTTCAGGGTCACAAGATGTGCTAAATACTGCCAAATTATTTCTTATAATTCTTATATTGCTCATTTCCCCCAAATTCCTACTAGCACTGGATATTATCAATATTTTTCCATTTTGCCAGCCTGATGACTGAAAATGGCATCACATTGTTACAGCTTGCATTTCCTTGACAACTTGTCAAATTGATCATCCTTTCGTATGTATACTCCATTTATCATTTCTTTGTCTGAGATACATACCCTAAAATGTCCTATGGGCCTTTTATTTAATAATAAGTTTGAAATTTTAGCCAAACCTAACTACAAATGGTACACTTTGGTAGATTTTAATATTTCACATAGTTTTAATAGAGAGAAGCACACCCTGGATCATACCTTGTGCTTCTCCACCCACACAAAGTCCACTCTGCTCAGCAAGAGATTGCTCAGCAATGGCCTCTCCCTCTGTCCCCCAGCCGAGATTGGTGGCTGCCACAGCCCAGCTCTCTGATGCTCTGGGTGTTCAAGGGAGAGGGAGAACCCCAGCCATAAACTCAGGGCTTTGTA